AGAGAGAGAGAGAGCGCACACACTTTTTTCCCTGCTCCCCTCAGGCAGGAGGTTGTGGAGAATTAAGTGTAGAACCATAGACTGAGGAACAGCTTCTACCCTGAGGCTGTTAGACTCATAAATATCTAACCCGGATAATCTATGTGGGAAAAAAATCACTGTAATGCCACTTGATTGTTGATATGTGCTGCTGATTATCCATGCTGCTGATCTCATGCTGCTGATTTATTCATGCTGCTGATTTATTCATGCTGTTGTGTTCATTCGTACTCATCTGCACACAGAGACTCGTGCCCATGCTGCTGTTCGGTGTATTATTTTTGTACTACTAGTGCTTAGTGTAGTTGTAGTTTAATGTTTTTCTTAGTTCGTATCTTAGATCTTATTACTGTTTTTTCTTTACAATTTCTACTTTTGTTGGATGTAACTGGGACCACCACATGTACCACATGTGATGCGTATGACAAATAAAGAATCTTGGACTTTGATATATTCTTTGGGAGACGAGCAACAAAAGGCTGTAAAGGTAAGTGGTATAAATAAGAAATAGATGGAAGAGCATTTTGTGACAAGTCAGTACGAGGGCTGGGTATAAAAAAGTTTTCAGGGAGGCTGAATCTCTCAGAAGTAAAAATGGACAGATGCTCACCTATATGCAAAAAATCTGTGCCTGACATAGTGAAACATTTTTGTGTCTCAATGAAAATGTATGAAGACAAGAATCACACCTTCTATAACAAAGTCCATGCTCAATAATCCAGGTATAAAATCCAACATTTTTCAATCAGATCATCTGGACAGTTTCTTTTTTTGTGCTGAAACGTTTCGCCTTCGATCCAGAAGGCTTCATCAGTCAAGGAAACACAAAACAACAACTGATTCTTCCCCCCCCCAACAGCTTACTCCAAAGTGGAACAAACCAGTTCTGCTTGTGGTTAGATGGTCTCTTTGGTCTTTGGTATTGAGAGATTTAAATTATTGCCTATGCCTATTGAACTTTGCATTCAGTTGTTTTGTTTGTTTAGTTGTTTTGTTATTGTTGTTGTGTTTTTACATTGAAAAAACATTTCAGCCTTTCATAACAGGGATTATAAGTGATCCACAAGCTCTTTTAAATTAACACAAATACTGGTCCAATTCTTTTTCGTCATTATAAAATTCTAATTGCAAAACGTACCCCTCCATTAACAAAATGAAGAACAAAACGGTGGAAAAAGAAAAAGAAAAGAGAAAAAGAAAAGATGCTTCGCTGCTTTGAGACCTGCTTCTACATCCAAGACAAGCAGTCTGAATTCAATAAACCTGCATTTATAAAATTCCATTCTCCTCACAAAGACAAGATTACCAAATTACCAGACTCTTAAAAATCCTTACAAACAGGAGCTAATTGACAAGATAGTAAGCTGTAATTAGACAGCAAATACTCTGCTATTATTACTAGAGGCCACTCCTCACTTCAGAAGCTAATTACTGGGATGATCAAACAGGCTGGAATCTTAATGAGACAACACAGGAAATTAATTTAATTAGCATTTGTGCTTATTCACACATTCTTGTGTTTTTATGTACAGTATACTTTAGTAAAACTAGCATTCGTACTAAAGCTGTGGATAGATTTGTTGTTTGGTGATTTTGTTTGGAGATACACTGAGTTTTGCCTGTCTTGTATTAAGATTAAGAGGCAAGGGTAGAGAGAGCACTGTTATAAAGGCCAGTGTTGTTCTTTTATGTCTTTATACACATAAAATTACATCAATAAAGTATTTATTTACACTTTGAAAATAAATGCCTCACTGAAATTCACTCACTGAAAGAGTTTACCGTATTTGCAGACGTTTTGTAATTTAATGGGCAGGTTCAGGAGCAGGATGTTCTGAGATTTACTACTCTCTCGGTGTAAACTAACAATTTGTCTCCATCTCTGACTGTCTTGAGGCTTGACATCCTGTGGAGTTCCATCCAGAAATGTTTCAAGCTGTAATGAGCTCAAGCTGTTTACTGGAAGGACGAAACGTTTGTAATTGAAGTTAAAATGCAAAGCCTAGAGGCAAACGCTGCACATTTCCTGAGAATATGAATTACTGGGAAGGTACTGAGGAGACACGTGGTTTTTAGGCTGCCATTGATTTTCAAATAGGAGAACCTGCTCTAAATTTGCATGTGCAATAATCTCCAATGTAGTGGTTTTACTGTTGAATGGATTTCAGAGATAAATGACAGTGTTGTTATAGCTAAAAGTACCAAGTCTAAAACTAGTGGCTCCGCTGCATTACTTTGTGCTATAATAATAAAACCAGTGCTTATCTGTTGGTTTAGAAGTTTCCATAACTGAACCACAGGAGAGTATTTTATAGTATAAACGCGCAAACATGCACAAGCTTCTTACTTTGAGGGCCTTCTGAGCTGGTTCACTGGAGCCGATGATAATAAGCCCTGGTCCTCCCATGCTGCAGCAGCTCTTTAAGTGCAGGTCCTCTAACACAGGCACTGTAGAAACAGCATAGTCCTGTAAAACACAATCCAATCATACAAGTTGGACATGATAAGCCTCGTCACGATGAGACACAGGCAGCAAAAGGTGTTCAACATAGTCTGTATAGCTAAGTAAAACACATTTTAAAAGTATGGCTCTCCACTTGATCTCCACTGTAACTAGTACCGTATTTTCCGCCATATAAGTCGCATAAGTCCAAAAATGTCTAATAAAGTGGGGGGAAAAAACATAAATAAGTCGCTTTGCCATATAAGATGCATCTATTATGCGTCGCCACTGATGCATCACGTTTGTTATGCGTCATCGCTGACCACCCGGAAACGTGGGCCAGTGTTGTGCCAAAAATCGATTGGCTGGCAAAATGGTGTGCACGGGAGGACTTTAACAAGAATTTAACAAGATTAACTCTTAAAAACAATTATTTGCTTGCTCAAAATTATAGCAAAGTTGTGCCTCAGTTTAAATTGTCCTTAATAAATGTGCTTTATTGGTCAAATCAGCTGCATTTCATCGGTGCGTCGCTGCCAAATTAATCTGATTTAACGTTTGCTCCGGGAGTTCCGGAATAAGATGAAGGTGGCTTGGTATTGCAAGCCAAGTGTCTTGTTAATAGCCACTTTTACCTATTAATGAGACACTTGGCTTGCCATAAAGCTTGAGGGCCCTCTAGCGGCTGCAAATGTTAATGTTTAATATTTTTCATGTCAGAATGAATGCAATCGTCAGATCACAGCCAAAAATTGTGTTATAAATATGGGAAAGAACATATATTAGTCGCTTCGATGTATGAGATGGTGTAGAGGCAGGACAGCCGGCTTGGGACCCAAAAGTCCCAGGTTCGATCCCCAGTCACTGCACATCACGTGGCGTCTCTGGGCAGCACACCTCATCCCCAAAATGCCCCCCGGGCGCTTTCAATAGCTGCCCACTGCACCACCTGGTGGTGGATGGGTTAAATGCAGAGACTAATTTCGCCATTGTATGGAAACATACAGTGCTGACATTGTGATGACATTATTATTATTATTATAAATCACAGGACTTGCAAATTTATGCAAAAAGGTGTGACTTATACAGTGAAAATATGATAGAACCCTGATTTGAGGCAATCACTGTGCGAGAGGTGGTATACACCCTGGACAGGTCTCTAGTCCATCACAGGGACGCAAAGAGACAAATGAGACAAATAACCATTCACACTCATCCTCACCTACCAACAATTTGTTGTTAACAATTAGCCTAACATGCATCTTTTTTGTGGGAGAAAACCAGTGGACCTGGAGAAAACTCATGTGTGCACAGGGAGAACATGCAAACTCCACACAAAAAGGACAGGAGTCAAACCTGCAACATTTTTGTTGTGAGGCATGCCGTCCCACTGCAGGATGTCTGCAGATTTTGTTGTTAGCAGAGTCACAAAAACACAAGCTACATAAAACTGCTTAGAACAACTGGAACTGATAGTTTTATTAGCTCCTGGGTGGGACATTATTCTATATGGTAACCACTTTTATTTAGTACTGCAAAAAGCACCTTTCTTTTATTATGTAGATTTTAAATCACCACCATCACAATGGGTGCAAGTAGTTTTATAACTGAACAGGTAAACATCACAGGTGCCCTCATATGCTCTCCAACCTAGATTGTTTGAAAAAAAAAAATTGAACAATGCATTCATTTTACTGAAATTTGAAGAAACATATAAAAACTGGGAAAAATAAATAAAAATAAATTTTGAAAAAGCTGCTCATAGTATTAACCCATTATTCAGATTTTTTTTTTTTTTTTAAAGGTTACAACTTTTTTTTTTACAGAATTTGTGATTGTATGGCTAATGGATGAGACATTTAAACTCAGAAATCAACTGTCAATCTTGGGCTGCTTGATTTATTAAAATCATTGAGACTTTTCAAGAAATCAAGTCTCATCAAGTCTGCATTTGAAGAATTAAAACTTAATTTGTGGAAACAACATTGACTTGATTGTGATGTCCTGATTGGCTCAAATGGAGGGAATTTCCTTTTGTAATTGAATGAACATCTCATCTAGGGTTTCACTGTTTGTTGGAATTACAACACACTGAAGCAATTAGTGATTGAGCCTACAAACCCTCTGCTTCATCATGTCTGTGTGTTTTTGTTTTGATTATCCAGTTATTGAGTTTATTTGTTAAGTTCGTTGAGATCTTTGGTTTGTGATCTTCACTTAATTGTATATTTCCTATTAGTTTACATCCTTATCTCTATGTTTCTGTATTTTATATTAAGATCACTCCATGTCTCAGTATTTCCAGTGTCATGTCCATTCGCTCTGATTCAGCTCTCAGTGTTCAGTCAGCCTTCCACTCACACCTGTTCCTAATCTATCATCACTTAGGTGCTGCCACTCTCCACTCCCACTCTGTCGTAATTAAACTGTCTCTTGTCATCACCTCACCAGCATATATTATATTTAACCCATACATCTTGGTCCTCTGTGCTTCTCTGTGTTCACCAGCTTTTTGTTATTGTTTATTTAATAAATACATTTTTAGTTTAACCTTCCTTGCTCCTCGTGTTTGCCTGCATTTGCGTCCAACCCTACACTGACCGTGACAATTAGAGCATATTTAAGACCTTTCCTTCCTGAATGCCATTGTGTACATTTCCCCGTTACACTCCCTTGTGCCAATTTCCCATTTCAGTAGTAAAGTTGAATTGGGTAAATAAATGTAGCACATTGTCAGCCTAATTAAAGCTCTATATACTTCTCTTTGTTGCTATGAATGAATTGCGTAACTGTTTTGCAGTTCATTGTGCAAAAACACCCTAAATTACCCCATCAGTGATGTTTTCCTGAACTCTTTTCTTGGCGTGTGTTTAGAGATTCCAGTGGGAACTACTGGGAATTACAGTATGTACTTTCATCATTCCTTATCCTCAAACAGGAAGTTTCTGTGTGAAATTAGAAATAAAAGCCATTCTTCCACCCTTATCAAGATAAAGGTGATAAAGTGTGGGAAACAGGTGATTTTTTATCTACACTGACAGACATATCACCATGTGGGACGTGAAAAGACTATTGACTATCAGAGAAGGGAAGCAGACTCCGCCATATATTTTAGTGATGGAAATTAGAAATCAACACTCTCCTTCTTGAACCTAAAAGAGATGATTTTACCTCTGTATTACATTCCAAACAAACTGATTCAAGCAGTAACTCCCACGTTTCCAACATCTGTAAGGACCATAAAGAAAAAGAGCCGCCACATCTGTATGCAGTTGTGGTGCACTAAACAGACCTGGTGGTGGAATGATCCTTAATTTGATAATGAAAGGAAAAAAAGCTAGCACAGATAGGCTGGCTCAATCTGATAAAAAATGGAAAAAATAATAATTGAAGCCTAAGTGATTTTTCCTATCGTGTCGTTTGCCAGAGTCGCATCATTACGTTTCGTCTTATCAAAGTTAGCAGAAAACACAGAGGAACCCATAATGACAGACTTTAATCCGATGCAGATGGGGACAATGGAAGCAGAAGAAAAAGAAAAAGGCAGTTCAAGTTACCGTAATGTGCAGAACTCGACATCATAACCCACCTCTGAATTTTCTTGTCAGCTTTTCAGCTTTGTCAAAGTGACAAAGTGAATCCAAACGTGACGCACAAAGGAGTGCACGATAAAACCTCTTTAATTTATACCAACAGAAGATAAGACAGATAGATCGGTCTGTGTTTGAGTCACACTTCAATGCTTTTTGAAGGTGGCATGCCTTCAAATCCTCTCTGACATAAATCTTGTGTTTTAAGTAGGCTAATGATTGGAGTACTTTTTGGGAATAATTTTTGGATGTGTAAGAAGATTGTGGTTAGCTTGGCTGCACTTGTGAAGATCACACCGCAGCATAACACAATTATTCTGAAGAAACTCTGGTATCAATAGGACTGAAAAGATACAGACCAAACGTCTTACATGGACAAGCCAATGACTCATCAAAACTCACTATTGGTGCCCCGTTATGTATGCTATCATCATCGACAAACAATGTAAATCAGTTATTCACCAAGTATAAACTCTTAACTGTCTGAAAATCACCAGATAAGATGATAATTATCATTAAATGAAAATGTTCATTTCAAACAAAAACACTGATTTTCTTAAGTTGAGTGAAATAACTGTTTTATTTAACATAAGTTCTCTAAAGATTTTTTTTTTGTCTTTTATTCCATTGTTACCTTGTTATCAGCCTCCTCTTTTACACTAAATAAATCATTCCCATCACTTACTTACACCTATTTTACCCAAGCCCCAACTTTTTCCTCATATTTATTGTCATTTATGCATTATTTGTCTTTTTTATTTCAGACTTTCAAGCTTTAGCTGCCAATCACATGCCCACAACCTTGACCCAAAAATAAATTTGTAAAACAGATACCAGTTTCTTTGACGGTGGTATTGACTGCTCATGATGGGATTTTTTTTAAGCCCTATTTATGGGTTTAGATTTTAAATGCATATAACTATATAACTTATCAGTGTTCAGTTAAAACTAAGTGACACTTAGTTTGTCAGCGCATCAACATGAGTAAACTTCTTCTTCTTCTGTTTCTTCTTTTGGCTTTTCCCTCTTCAGGGTTGCCACAGAGAGTCATCCTCCTCCATTTCACTCTGTCCTCTGCATCCTCTGTCCTCACTCCATCTACCTCCATGTCCTCTCTAACTGCATCCACATATCTCCTCTTTGGCCTTCCTTTCTGTCTTTTTCCTGGCAGCTGCATTTCTAACATCCTTCTACCAATATACCCACTGTCCCTCCTCTGGACATGTCCAAACCATCTCAGTCTGGCCTCTCTAACTTTATATCCCACTTGCTCACCCTGTGCTGTACCTTTGATTTTTTTCATTCCTAATCTTAACCATGTGTCATTCATAAGGAGAAACTCGACATCTCAATGCTACAAGCCTTGCTGCCCTTCAATATGGTCTCTTGGACACATAAAACATCTACCTTCCTTCTCTGCATCATGTCAGCCAGTTATCTACCTTTGCCTGTCATTGTCCCCACATTCATTCTCCCGCTGTTACCTCGTGGTCTTCGACTAACAGTAGCACAATTTCCGCCAGCACCCAGTTTGTCAACAGCACCGGTGGGAGTTGTAGTTAACCCGGGCCTTGACCAATCTGCTAAGGCGTCATTTTGATGAACTCGCATATTAGTTTTGTCAAAAGTGTTTTACATCAGATGCCCTTCTTGACACAGCCCTCGCCATTTACCTGGGCTTGGGACCAGCACAAGGGATACGTACACTGGCTGCTCCCTAGTGGCTAGTTTCCAGCAAGAGCAAACAAGTTAATTTATTGAAGTATTAGAGGCACTGGAGAAAATTATCTATAAAGTAATTAACAGGAGGTTTAGTCTCTTACATCACACTTTTAAATCTTTGTCATTCATTCCTTGATTAATCACTGTGAGCACAGAAGGTAGAGCTTTGCATGCAAAGTTGATTAGAAATGCCTAAAAGCCAGCTGAGGCCTGGTTCAAGGCACCGGCTACTAATTAACACTGGGACGCTTTACAGCTGCATCAATCAATCTCTTAGCACCAATGGTGCTAAAGGAGTATGTAGAAGAAGCTTTTTTTTCATGCACTTTGAACAATTTTTTTTTTATGTGTATGTCTTTTATGCACAATACCAACACTTTCACTGCAACTTTTTTTTTATACTATATGAAATGGCAAGGTAATCAAATTAAATGCAGGGAAGGAGAAAAAAAAAGCAGAGCTGATTGTTGGATGACAGATTGCAACAAGATGAAGTGGATTGAGACAGAAATGAATAGAGAAAGAAATTAAATTATGGAGAAAATAGAAAGGGATTTGTGTGGTCAGGACTTCAAAATAAAGTTTACAAACCAACAAGTGATGTGAAATTGGTGGCCAAATAAATACATAAGTTCAAGTATATTTATGCGCATTGGGATATTTCTCTCATTTAAAACATCTGGACACGTTTTTTAAACTTCCAACAGTACTTTAACTCACCTTAAATGCATCAGCTAGAATTTCTGCTCCTCTCTGATTGGTTCGTTTAGAAAGGCCCACAAAGAATTCTCGACCTGAAGAAAAAATAAGATAATTATCATTGGTAATGTGAGGAGTCTGAATGGTCTTAACTTTAAAGCAAGAAGCCAAAGAAAAAGTTTTAAGCAGGTACTACCAGCAGAACACTGCCACTGCCTGTATTTGCTGTGGATGTGTTCGATGTGGTGGGGTATACACAAACAGATTCCCGAGTGCAGCGGCACACCAAGCTGCAGGGACGGGCTCCTTATGTTGCTGCTGAACCTTTACAATGTGAGCCATTAGCCGAGGCCCAGCCAGCAGGAAATGTTTTTCACTCTGCCATGTGAAACCCCTTCCAGCTGAAAAGAATGACAGCTCAGCCCCAGTGTCTTAAACTCGATTAAGTGTACTGTACTTTTTTAGTTCCTGGCTTGTGCAGCGAAGAAGGTGCTGACCCACATTTTAAATAAACCCAACAAAGATCAAAGATGTTTCTGTTTTTAGTTTCTACATTTGCCTTAGACTCTAGCTGTTATTTGTTACTTTTCTATTTTTAGCCTTCATATTTGTACAAAAAAAAAATAATAATAATTGTATGACTTTTTATAACTGTCTATTGTTGTCGCTGTTGTCCATTGTTGTCATCATTCTTTGTTGAAATCAGGTCTCTCTTGTAAATGAGTCCTCGAGGCTCAATGGGATTTACCTGTCTAAATAAAGGTTGAATGAATGAATCAGTGAGGTTTGTATTTTTTTTTTTTTTTCTGCAGTTCTTGGTTTCATAATCTGTTAGCAGAGAAATGTGACAGTTGTGGTGAGATTTGATAAAATTGCTTTGAATACACAACAGTTTGAATACAGCAAGTTCAGGTGAAATCCTGCTGGGCATGATGAGGCACAAGGTCACCGAGGACATCCAGAGGAATGTTTTCAAGGAGAATCCAAGGAAACATAAGCACATGCTCACATCTACTGAATCACCTAAGGTCACGTGTTCGCCAAACTCAAATTTCATTGGTCACAGACTTATCAGCAGACTTTTAAAATGATTTTTTTTACTTGAAATAAATAAATAAATGGATTGTGTGCCAAAATAGTGGTTTATTGCATGAGGGCAACACCATGCCATAAAGGGAAAATAACATTTTGGCAATGCAACTACACTATGTTTTATCAATGTTATCCGAGCAAATCTAAAATCAGGCTTCGCTTGGCATTTACATGAAGGCCTTTGTCTTGTTTCAAATCTCCACCAATATAAGTAGTATATTCTGTTGATTGGTCTAATTGGGTTTTATATGTTTATATTCTGAATATTTAGAACAGGGCGGCACATTGGCTCAGTTGGTAGAGCTGCTGACCCTCAGCAAGAAGGTCACCGTATCAAATCCCAGCCAAGGAACTTTTAGGGTGGAGTCTGCATGTTCTCTCCGTGCATGTGTGGGTTTTCTCTGAATACTCCAGTTTCCTCCCACAGACCAAAACATGCATGTTAGACTGATTGGTAACTAAATTGTCTCTAGGGGTGTGACAGAGTGAATGGTTGTTTGTCTCGTTTGTCTTTATGTGTCACTGATGGACTTGCGACCTGTCCAGGGTACACCCTGTCTCTCACACAGTGACTCTGCTGGATATGGGCACCAGTGAACCCTGCGACCCGAAAAGGTAGAAGTTGGTAAAAATAATGGATGGATGGAATATTTAAAACATAGCTGTACAGTGACAGTACTGTTGCATTGGTTAATTGGTGACTTTTCACTCACGTAATTATAAATATGTGTATGCATGGTTGTCTGTCTATAGACCCTGTGATTGACTGGCAACGTGTCCAGGATGATCCTGTTAATCCAGTGACCACTGGAAACAGAAACCAGCTCTGAAATGGTTCAAATGGGTACAAAAAAGGGATGAATGACTCATTGAAACAAACCAAGTCTTGATACATCCATAGTTCATCATAAATTTTCAAATAAATAATTACTTTTGTTTACACTTTGTATTTTTCCATTTTAGTTGGCATCGTCAGTCATTATCATGAACAACAAACAACTGAGGTTATAATGGTACATTTTCATCTTTAAATCACTCCTTGGTCTGTTGCCTTCACATATCTCATCCCACATGTCACTTTGTCAGTACAGCTACAGTGTGTACTCTCAAGACATAATTACCTGCAGTGTCCCCTCAGTGCGGACTGAATTTGGCAAAAGGGCCTTCTCTTACTTTGCTCCTGTAACCTGAAACACCTTGCAAAAAGATCTGAAGTTGTCGACTTTGACCTCTCTACGGGATTTTAAACAACTGTTTTCACTGCAAAAATCAATGCAGACATGTTCCTGTTTTAGTTGGGTTTTATTACATCATTTTATAATGTAGCTTGTGTTGTTTCATTTTATATCACTTCTTTTATTTTATTTTCATTTTATTTGCTTTTATATGACTATCTATTGTTGTCTGTACCTCATTTGTGGTCTTTGTTTAAAAGAGGTCTCTCTTGAAAATGAGTCCTCGTGACTCAGCGAGACTAACCTGTATGAATAAATGTTGAATGAATGATAAAACTTACCAGTAAACAGAACATCTCCTCCATCCAGCGTTGCATTTTCGTCAGTCATTTCCACAATGTTCAGATTCAGACCTTTCAGAGCCTCTTGCATTGCCTCTGTCTGAAATGACACAAACAGAAATACACTTAAAACATTTTTTTTTTTTAGAAAGTATGTTACTTTTTACTAGGTAGTGGCTGAAGAAATTGGATCAACTGAGGAAGAAGCCCAATCTATGGAAATCTCTCGTCTTGTCCTTCTATCATGGGTCATTTGTGTTTTATATATTTATAGGAAGGAAGGCTGCCAGTTGTCCTGTTTATTAGAATTTGTTATGAAATGCATCCCCTGACGAAAGATTATGGGAAATCCACATTTTGCCATCATGTCACCTCTGCTGAAAACAAAACCTGTGGAAAGAGCAGGTCGTTTGTTGGCTGACCTCCTGTCAGACCGCCCAGCAGGATTTTACTGTCCTGCTTTTGGGGGGTCCTGTGAGATTGTTTCCAAGGCCAGTCATGTTAGTGAGAGCATCAGTGTTTCCACAACTCCTATCTTACAATGACCTCAGTGTGCTCACTGTGAGTTTGGGTGAATGTATTGCTTCTGCTTCTCCTCATCTGCAAAAAGTCAAACCATGAGGTCATCCAGGTAGACTTCCAGATAACATGAATATGCAGTTACTGTGTTTAGGTAGTTTCCTCTTCCCTAAACACACATGCTTTTGTGTAAATGTGTATATAGTTCACTGTTTCATCAGTAAGCTATTTGTTAACATTATAATAGCAGCATTTTTATGGCTGGCTTTGGATCTCAAACTAAGAGAACCATCAGACTACCGGTAAATGACCCACTGGATAAGAGTCAAAATAGCATATTTCCAAATACATTCACTTTCCACAAGTAAAACTAGTTTTCCAATGCAGCATTTCATCTTTACTGCTTGCTCATCTTCTCGCTTCACTTAACCAGGAAGAACACAGAGTCCTTCCAAGAAACTGGGTTGACACATGCATTGGTGGGTTTCTTCAAAGCTTTAACATGCAGCATAATCAGTGCAGGTAACAGCACATTTTATGCATTGTTTCATTTTTCAATTGTCAAGTCAAGTCTGCTTTTTGTTTAGCTTGATTGTAGATGTTTTATGGGAATTAAAAAAACAACAATTTAGTCAGATTATGTGGAACAATCCAGATGAGTGAGATGTTTAATGTCTGTTCAAGACACGTGCTGTCTTTGTGTGTCATTGCAGTGGAGTAATTGCTACATTTTGCTATTTTTTCCCTTGTTCTGAGTAACTAATTGTATAATTGGCTTCAGATAAGAGTTACATAAAGTACATATTTTAATCCATTCTGCATTAGTTTTTCACGTCAGTGAGGCTGGTTCTGTAGAGCAAAACTAAAAACCTGGCTTTATTATTTTATCCAGAAAGACAAAGAAAATATTTGCTTACACACAGTGTGTCTATATTTTTGTGGCTCGTTGTCTTCATTTGAGTCACGAAGACCTCTTCATGGAATTTGGTAAAACTGTGTGATGCGGCCTTTCCCACAGTGCTCTGGCATTTCCTTTGACATCACTGGAAGAGACTGGACCCATAATGTGTTTAATCTTCCCAAACCCCCATGAAATATGGCAATCCTTTTATAGATGATCTATGATATTGCTAATATGCGTGTGTGTGTGTGTGTGTGTGTGTGTGTGTGTGGTACGTTTTTCTCTTCAGCATTTGTTGCCACATAAGTTTTGATTTAGGAAAATCGGAAAATAAGAAATTAATTATGTAATCAGTTGCAATTGGGCACATGCTGTTTTAATGCCAATAGAGTTACCACAGTACACTGACTGGTTTGAAGATGTTCAGAGAATCTTAAATCAGAGTCACCTAATAGCGGGTACGTTTTTGTATAGTCATGAAAGATCCATCCAGCCATCCATCCAGCCATCCATCCAGCCAGCCATGCATTATCTTTTACCGACTTCTTCATTTAAGGGTCACGAGGGTCGCAAGTGCCCATATCCAGCAGTCACTGTGCAAGAGGCAGGGGGCACCCACACGTCCATCACAGAGACACAGAGACAAACAACCATTCATTCTCTCACTCACACCTAGGGACAATTTAGAGTTATCAATCAGCCTAACATGCATGTTTTTGGTCTGTGGGAGGAAACCAGAGTACCTGTTGAAAACCCACGCATGCATGGCTAGAACACGCAAACTTCACCCAGAATAGCACCCCCCCAGCCGGAATTTCATCCGGGAACCTTCTCGCTGAGAGGCAGCAGGTTTACCAACTGCTGCCAGTCATGAAAGTTAACAGTCAAAATAACACATCCTATGGTTTTACAGCTTTTGCTGCACTTGTGACCAGTCCAATCGGTACCTCACCTCTCACACAATGACCGCTGGAGGTAGGCACCCAATCCCACGCAAATTTATTGTTATTTGCAACACATGTGGTAAATGAGGTGGAATGAAATCATGTACTCCAGGTCCTAGTTACATTCAAAAATATCAAGTATAAAAAGAAACTTTATACATACAAGGATCTAAGATATACACTAAACAACAGACAGACACAGGACAGAAACCCTACAGTTGTGAGCAGATGGGTATGAATACAGCAGCTTAAAGGCAAGAAATCAGCAGCATGGATAATCAGCATTACAGATAAAGTCACATATCACCAATTAAAGTGCCATTACAGTGGTTATTCTGGTTAGAAATTCATGAGTCTAACAGCTTCAGGGTAGAAGCTGTTCCTCAGTCTAGCGGTTCTACATTTAATATTCCTCAACCTCCTGCATGAGGGGAGCGGGGCAAAAAGTGCGTGTGCTGGGTGAGTGGGGTCCTTCATGATGCAGGTGGCCCTCAACCTGCATCTGGAGGTGTAGATGTCTGTGATGGTGGGGAGGCTGACTCCAAATCAAACTGTAGAGCTGTGGTTTTGCTTCTTGAATGCACAGACAGATTATTTTCCACATAAATCTGTTTTGTACTTTTATCAGCGGTTGCGATATTTTCTTGAAGTCAGACTAAAACAGTTTGTTCTCATAATATTTTTGCAAGTATGCCGGCCAGAGTCTTTACTCTCATGTAATATATATATATATTTTTTTTTTTTCTTTTGCTTGGTCTCTGTTAAAGCAAATAGAGCAATGACAAAAAGTAATATGGCATGCAATAACATCCCTAAAATAACTTTCTGCTAGGATAGAGATCAGTAAACAAAGTGTACTGAATTTTTGTTTTTCAACAAATCTGCAAATACGTTTGTAGTCTGCAGCTGCTGAGCTATAAAAGCATCTGTTTCCAATGAAAATTGTGCCTTTTCCTGATTAAAAGCACTATTTTTTAAGCCCAGCACAAATAAATTAATTTCCTCTAAGCAGAGCAATATTCTACTTGAAGGAAATTAGTGAAAACAGCTATAAACACATCCTGAAATTAATTTGTTTCCTATGCATTACAGGGCCTTTGGGAGCTGGTGCCTAATTCTTCTTCTTCCTCTTTTTTTTTTGAAGGCCCACACAGAAACCCAGTTTTCCAAAACATTTTTTTTTTAATTTGTCATTTCTAAAAAAAAAATAAAAAAATGGCACAACATCTAGAGAGAAAAAGTGTGCAAAAAGTGTATACACCTGTTCCGATATGAGGTTTCTAAATGTGAAATTACTGAAAACTATTTCCTGTTGGCAACAAAAAGACACATAAAGGCCAAACAATAAAATTTGTTATTTTCTAACATTAAAACACCCTTTCTTGTTTTCACACCTATATTCCTCACTGTGTGTATAGGGATTCCTCTCAGTACATTGCAACCAAGTCTCTGATGCTACCTCTTGTTTGACTGTTCTTATTTTTAATTAGTATTATTCACTTTTACATATTTTCCATTGATGAGACTGAATCCAAACGCACAGGTGATGCGTTACAATCAACTAAAGTGCAAAATTTGACTCAAGAGAACTCGTACTTTGTAGCACAGTTTTAAAACAGCAACATGAAATTCCTAATTTTACTTGTTTGCAGAATGTACAAAGTCAAAGTCAAGATGTTGCCAGAAAAAGAACAGGATGTGCTCTCCTGTTAAAATATAACCAGCAATTACAGCAGATTTTTAACCCACTAGCAGAGTTGTGTTTAGCAGAGATGTTTTCTTGATTTGCTACAAATGAGAAGATTAATTAGCTTTTTAACAGTGAACAGTAAACACATTAATCATTAAACATGCCATCGTTCAAACCTACCCGAGGCTGTAGTTTTGTTAGACTCTGTATGTCTAACCCATTATTCTACCCATTACCTTCTTCACCCATTTTGTCTCACATTCCTTCTATTCTCCTAAGACCCCCATTGAAGGGTCAAGAATGCTTCCAAAGTGCCTTCTCATGCAGAGTGGCCTATTATATCTTACTGTTAGGGACATCTAATACCCATGCCTGCAAAGGTGCCAACTCACTTTATCAGTCCCCTTACTCCTACACCGTTCAGCCATCTTTTTACTCCTTCCATCTACTCCTCTTTCCCCCTGAGTGCTTGGCCATGCAACACACTGTTGTTAGTCAGCACCCTGCTTTGAATGAAAAAGGCCATTTAAATTCATTAGAGACTTAAGGCTCTGAGGGCCAGTTGGTCTGCCTGCCACATTCCTGCCGTTCCAGCACAGGACAGGGGAGTTGGAGCAGAGAGAACAACCTTTTATTTGATGCTTTTTTATGGAGCAATTCTCCCCACTCTTGCCCCTGGTACCCGTGGATATCACATTCTGCTAAAAAGGGCCATCAGTCCTAGCTTGGTTCATTTGGGGATGGAATTGAGAACACAACAATAACATTCCTGAGGGTCATCCTAGCCTCCCTGTACCAGACAACGAAGTCCCACGCTCCAGTATAATGGGGGTACAACATTCCTCTCTGCCTTAAACACAATGAGGTCTTTGGATAACGGTGAACCTCCACTCTTCATCAAATTATGAAGCATGAGTAAAAAATGACAAACATAGCCAGTTGATTTGTGCTTTTCATACAAATGATTGGTTTTCTCCAAGTTAAATAAGTTTACACCAAAGTTAAAACAAAGTGTTAAATAAGTTTAATTTATTACGGTATTCCAA